TACCCATCCACATTGTATGTTTTATATTACAAACAGTATCTCCCAATGCAACAATGATACTGACACATTTGATAACTATATTCCATGTGTTTTACATTTTTAACAAGTACTGCATTATCGTTTTAAACCAGTTTGGGGATACACACCCAGAGGGCATTACAAAGCTTTAAAAACTTTCAAAATCTTTAGTTTTGCGGTATACAGCAAAATGGCAGACAGTGGTAACAGACAGTATGACAGGCTACATTATGTCACCTTTGGCTTCCGCAAAAACATAAATCAAATTGAGCGACCAGAGGAAAAAGTCTGAGGGCCAAAAAAGTTTTCATAGATGATGTAACGAGACCAACAATAACAGTATCCAACACAAGCCGTTTTGAAACATCTCCATAACAAAATCACATGAAGGAAAGGGACACATCTCAGAGAAGAAATTCATTGCTGCCACGTGAGAATTGCAGCCAAAAAGTTTGCAACATTGTTATAATGAAAATCTCAAAAACACAATTCAGTTTGTACAGTTAATTACAGAGACAGTGTTGCACCTGACCGGTCTCAATAAAACATTGTTGCAAGGAAGACTTAAAGTGTGGGGCTTCCAATTTGGCATACTTCCATGAATTTTGTGACCACTGACTGTGTTTGAAATCCCCTTAAGCAAAGTGGAAAAGCTGGAGCGAATTATCAGTATGTGCACAGAACAATAGCTTGGAGTTCCGGGTGGTCTGAGGCCAATCGCATTATATGGAAGAGGCCAAATGGAATTGCCAATAACAAGTTTGGTCGAAGAATTAAAAGGCTTCAAAGACAAGTTATGACCCTAAAACAAATCACACAATGACATTGTTTGTGTTGCCCACAAAAAAAAAGCAGGAAGGAAATGGGCACAAAACAAAACCATTCAGAATACCAAGTCAGCTCTACTTCTCAGAAAGATTGTCGGTCAAGTCCAACAAAGGGATTGGGACTGAATGAAATAAGGCTACAACGGTAAAATTGTGTCACCTTGTAGTTGAGATGAAAGCAGGAAAAGCGGTGTCAAGGGACAAACTGAGAGAGTGAGGAAAAGAAAAGCTGGCTTGGCATCATATCTTGGAGCTGGAGGGCCGCCAGCATCACCTCAAAAATCTGTAGCAGTGGTTTGGTTCAAGCTATCTGCAAGTACAACAAGGCTCTTTCAGGAACGGTATCCTAGGTGTCATGACCAACAAAACATCATACACTAGAGTGTGACACACCAAGGTGTACAGGATTGGAATTTGACCTCGACAGAAAGTTGGTAATCCCTTCTGAATTTGTAATGACAACACTCGGTGGCTGAGTGGACGTCACTCTCTCTTCTCGGGAAAGAAGGTCCTGGGTTTGAATCCTTGTCAGAACAGGGTCTTTCTGAGTGGAGTTTGCAGTGCTTTGGTTTACCCTACCACTAAAAACATGTACAATAGGTAAATCCTCCAGCTCCAGTAATCCTGACCACGCCAAGAATCAACATCCGGCAACCACCGCTCCTGATTGACACCCTACTGCCATCGGGATGGGTCAAATGCAGAGGATAAAACTTCTGCGGTTTATTTATCCTAAGGGGATGCATTTAGTGCACCTGTACCTTTACCTTACTCTGCCACAGCATGTTGGGAACTTATAGATTCCTTTCAGGAAGGAGTCCTGAAATCCCCAATTGGCTCAAGCAGCAGCCCAGAAACGGTGGATGTGTTTTCAGTATTTGCAGAAGTTGGGTGTAGGGGTTTTGTGGCAACCTCTGTGTGCTACCTTTTGGAGAGAGAACTGAATTGGTCCTCCCAGTTACAAGCCAGACCCCATAGCTCTATGCGAACCACAAAGAATTCACAATAATGCCACGTCATGTCTGCCCAAGATGAGCTGCAGAGCTCACCAGCAAAGCATCGACATTTATCATATGAGCCGACTCATTCCAAATGTACAGCTCACCACTTTACAGTCACCTTGATTATTCCAAGTTCATGCTGACTGTGTTTATGCAAAACAGCACTCTGGCCAACTGGGGTCCATGATCTAAATCATCATGCTAAATCTTTATGAAAAGTCTGTGTCTGTGTGGGTTAGGGTTAGTCAAGTTGATTCTTGTCACCCCCCCATCAGTTTAGTTTATGATTAGTATGCATTTTATCACAAATTATTCTTCTACCTTTATCTGATGCTTTTAATCTTCAAAGATAAAAAGAAAAAAAAAAGGAAAACAATTTCTTGTGTGACATCATTACATGTGTGCCATGATGGCAGATTAGATAGTCTTCCCTTGAGGTCCAGACCGGTGACGTACTGGACTTATTGCACCAGTGCTATTGAAGGAGTGACTGAGGTTGGATGGTCAGAACAGATAGCCCTGTTTGAACTCAGTAACAACTCAGATATGATGCAGAAACATGGAGAAATAATTGGAAGAATATAATCATGGGTCCAGGGGAGTATTGTCACAAATGGTAAGGAGTTCGGGTCCTTTGTGTGTGAGCAGGAGAGAAAGTGTCTGAATGAGGGGACACTGACAGTCAACAGGAGGATTCATGAATGCACCGAGGAGCAAGACTGAGCTGGACACAAAGTAAGAGCAGACACTTTTCATCTGGATCTCAAAAGTGTCACTGCCTCTACCCTAAAAATTAAAAAAATAAACTAAGCAAATAAACTGTAAAGGGATTTATGCTAAAGACAGGTGACATTTACAAAGATTTGCTCGTACATTTATTATAGTAAGTAATCTTGATTTATATAGCAGTCAAAAATCAGTTTAGAATTGTGGGCATTTGTCTCTCACTCCAAACATAGATGTGAGTGAGGTTGCCAGTACAAGAGGCGCATGCCAGACCTATTGCACATGTTTTTAGTGATAGGGGAAACCGGGGCACCCAGAGGAACATGCGAACTCCACTCAGAAAGGCCCTGTTCCAACTGGGATTTGAACCCAGGACCTTCTTGCTGAGAAGCAAGAGTGCTATCCACGTGCCACCGGGGAACTATAGTAATATAGTATTAATCTCTAAAACGGAGCCTCTAATGTCTGCTGTGTAAGTGGATCCTGGGTGTGATCCCAGTCCACACATGGCCAAATGTGCATGGACACAACCAGGCTGGACCAAGCAACCAAGCAAAACAAGTCCAGAGTCACAAAGCGGTTTACAATTGTGGGCAACAAAATATAAGTTATTCAATTATAAGTGAGTAATTTTTATTGATATACTGCCTTTCACAGACCAGAGTCACAAAGCGGTTTACAAAGTTTTTTTGGGCATTTATCCTCTCACTCCACACAGAGATGGGAGTGGGGTCACATGCCAGACCTATTTTGCATGTTTTTTAGTGGTAGGGGAAACCGGAGTACCCAGAGGAAACCTACACAGACACAGAAAGGCCCTGGTCCGACCGGGATTCGAACCCAGGACCTTCTAGCTGAGATGCAAGAGTGCTATCCACTCACCCAGCGTGCCGGTATATGGTAAGACAATGGCTTCAGGTCAGAGAGATTGTGGACATGAAAAGACATGCTGGTGCATATCTCCATTCATTCATTCATTTTCTACCCCTTTATTATTCCATTTATGGGTCGAGGCAATAGGGATGCTCATAGCACCAGTCGCTGCTCCTCCTGTAACCCATCCCCACCCTTCAGGCCCAAAGGCCAATGCTTTGCCAACTGAGTCGGGGGGTGGCAGTCAGAGCTGCACCCAGTACAGCACCAGCCCCTCACTGATCCTCCTGCAGGTGGTGAGTCCACAAGGGCAGGGGCTTCAGGCAAAGGGGGGTTAAGTGTCTTGCCCAAGGACACACCGATAGCAGTCATCAGTGGGAGTCGTGAAGTAGGTCTTATGGTGGGCTCGAACCCACTGTCTGTTGCTCCCAATTGTTTCCAATTATTTGCCATTGAAAAAAACAACTGTGATCTGCTGCAAACCTTGAAATAAAGCAATTCCATAATAAGAAGCCGATAAGGTAAGAATGACCAAAGTATATGGAAGCAACCAGGCCTGACTGAGAAAAATAAATAAAAACATAATAAATGCAAATAATTAAGTTCTAAATAATTATGTCATAAATGATTGCAATCTCCAAGCACTACGTATGAGATAATACATTTCTGTAATTATATCTGCAGTATCTTACAAGCTGTGGCCTACATTTTCTATTTATATAGAAACAGCATTCACACAACACTGCTCACAACAAGCAGTTTCTCGTCTCGTTTTAGGTTGGAGCAATTATTATCTGAGTTTGAGACTGGCATAAAAGACAATTGGTCGGTGTACTATTCAACTGGAATGAGACCAATTATTTGTACTTGAATAAACATGTAAATGATTATATTTCATCCTCTCCTCCAATAAAACACCAGGGATCTGAAACCCTAAATTTTAGCTTTCACATGGAGTTATGCAGCGTTGTTTCCTTTCAGTGTGCTTTTTATCATTTCAGTAACTAACTTTTACTCATACCAGCAGAGCACTTTCACAAAATTGTTGAAAGAAATGTGACACAAATTACATATTGCGTGTAATGGAAATTCTATCTGCCCAAACTAATAGAACCGGAATCGCACAAGCTGGTAAAACAACGACTTGAGATGATGACACATAAGGTCATAGTTTGAGGGAGATGCAGACATGAAAAGACGAGCGACAGACCGGGACAACATGCTCATGCTTGTTTCCCAGTGTTGGATATTGAAACATACATGTAACTGTGGTTTGGGCTCAAAGAATAACATGTAAACCTTGAAATTAAGCATTTCTATGATAGAAAGCAGACAAAAACATTGTCAGTATCATTCTGTATGACAGTCACTGTTTCGAAATGTTGTAGAAAATAAGGATTGTTAGTAAATATACGAACATCTAACATCTGACATTCTCACTATATTCAGACTTTTCATTTACAAACTCACACAAAGACAGTTCTAACATAAACTTGGGAATAGTACGACAAATATATTGAGAGTAAATGTTGTTGTGCTTGTCCATCTCTGCAGGATGCAGCTGGTGTGGGGTGAGCCGCCTCAGGCGAGAGGCCCGTCACCAGACGCCTGCAGCACAAAAAGAGAGAAACACTGATGGAATGAACGGGGAAAAGACTGGAATCTGCAGTAATATTAACAAGGATGTGAAATAGAGCTAGTATACAAACACTCTGAGATGGTCAAACTCACATTTAATTTATACTGAAGTTACACTTTCTTGTGTGAATATGATTCTCTTACATAATATTAACACATACTATGTGTAGATGTACTATAGCAAACATCAGCTCGGACACTCTATTCATCCAAGAGTGATTTTTTTATTTTATTTCCTTATTATGGAATAAGATCTGCCATATTAATAAGAACATCTGGTAATAACAGACTGCTGGGTCACTTCCAGTGAATACCATCAATGAATCATCTCAGAATAATAAATACACATAATACATTGATACATGGGCTCTCAATTTGAAATGGGAACAGTGTGTGAGATGTTGTTTTATAACTTGCATATCAATATTTTCTGGGTCTTCACGGTCACAAGGTTTTCTATACTAGTTTTATCCATGAGAGTTCACAAAATGCTCTATTGTTCATGTTATATTACTCATGTAAATACAGTGTACACAATTGTGATTATTTATGTTATGTCATTTCCATCATCCAATCAGAACACAGAAGGAGTCCCTCATCTGGATATTTTTGATGAAATGTATTTATAGTATTATTGTACAACAAAAACAAATACTACTGCACCTTTAACATGGTTTGTAACATTGGTTTACACCTCATGTGCTTTCTGTTAATCCCAAAATGATTTGCAGTGTGATCGTCACAATCATGGCCTCATAGCAATGAGGGAATGACATAGTATATGCAAAGGAAAGCCCCCAAAAGATCTCTAAAATCTAATTATTGAAATGATATAGAAAGAAAGAAGCGAGCACTAAAACCTCCCGTCTTTAGTATGCGCTGCTCCTTCACCTATACGGCACTTCTTTAACCAGCCTGTCTTTAATCCTCTCCCAGACCTCTGCGCCTCGAGCTACAGACGGTGACAACTTCAAACTCTTCACTCCGCACACTTCACAAAACCCACCTCGTTCTCCTCACATCCTTCCCGCACTTCCACACGACGTCTACTCGAGTCTACAGCGCGGCGCAGGCACCAGAGCAAAGAGGCATAGAAGCCGAAAAAGACAGGAATGTCACTCAACCCTGACCTGGGACGCCCCGGGAGGCACGGGGGCTCATAACTGTTGTCAAGGGCGCCTCTGTGGGGCGTCTTTCAGGTGTCACGAGTGATGGAGAAGCTAAGCCACCCTCATCTCTGCTTGGCTAAATATGGATGCGTCTGTGTGGGCACGCGCACACGCTCCTCTGGGTGCCAAGCGTTTCAGTCGAGCCGCTCGAGTGACAGGAGCAGGTATAGAGCGACTGCCGACAAAAAAAGAAAAAGAAAAGCAAAAGGCGGTATGTTTGCTCGTGCTGTTTTTTCTTATTTGTGAAAGTTTTGTTAGATTTGATAGCAGCAGGGAGTGAGTGAAAAGGTGTGAAAGTTCAAATGAAGTGCGGAAACATGAAAGCCTATAAAAATAAATAAATAAACAAGTATAAATAAACACATTAATGTTCTGATAGTGGAGAGTTTCAAGCGTTTTTATAAGACCTGCAGTATTTCAGTAGCAGAAGCGTTGAGGGCCAGCCACATTTCTCACCGGGGTCATTATTTAGACAAACAGACAAAGCCAATACGGTGCAGCTCAGTGCCCTGGACGGAGCTAGTCATTATTGCTGAATGGTTAAAGTTGTGAAGGGTGGTAAAAAATCAACTTACGGTCTCAGAAGTAAGAGTCGTGTCTAAACCGTCCTGGACCTGCTTTTTGTGAAGTGATCTGATACATGCGTCCTTCTTCTTGAAAGATTTGCTTTGCTTTGCTTCAAAAGTTGCTACCTCACCTTTGGACATGAGCTTTGGGTAATGAACTACTAGAACTCCCAGAGCCATCATTTTGACTGCTCCCATTCAAACCTTGTTGAATGGTTTGTTTTCCTAGTTTTGACCAGATTCATAAAAATACATTTATTTTATAAGGTTTTTTTTATTTTTATACCTTTACTCACTTTTAATAAATCCTAAAACTGGTCAATATAAATGCAACTGAAATATAGCAAACACAATAGAAAAGATAATGCTAACTTCTTGCAGTAAACAGTGAGCTGCTATGGTAACTAGCACTTAATATTCTCTGGTAGAAAATGTCTTAAAGCTAGAACCACTCATAATTCAAAAGTAAAAGATAATTTCATACAAAAAATAATGACATAGAAATAAACTACCTGCAGATACAGAAAAGGTCAGACAGTAAAGAAGACAAAGAATGTACATGAGGTGAGTAATTACTCTTCCAATTGAGTGCTCCAGGAGTTCTAATGTTGAAGGAGCAATATGTAAAAATCTGGCCAAAAGTGGCACTGCAACCCCTCCCACTCTCTCTGACTCAGGTTGCCAGATATGCAGACGAATCCAGCAGGGAACATAATATCTGTATGTACAAGAGTTTTGTCAACAACAAATCTATAACCAACACCTTTTTCACAAAGGCCTGATAGAAATCCATGTTTTTTTCCTTGCTTAGTCATTTAGGATTTGAGAATCATAACAAGACCTTTTTTGGTTCTGCAGCCACATTTTACTTTGCCAGTGAGATTAGCTCGACGCAGTGAGTTCTGGCAAGCCGGATCACAGATAAGCAGTGGAGTGCGGGTCAACGCAATGAAAACAAGAACAAGATTTAGGGACTGTAAATCCAATTTTCAAATCCAAATATCTCGGCTGAGCTAATATTATTAGTTAAAGAAGTAATTGAAAAGAGCATGGTTTAGTAAGTGCCTTATCACATAATAGGGCCATTTAATTATGACTTGACTTGAAAATCTTACATATAGCTACCTTAGCACGTGTACATTCCTAAATTATGCATGATTTTATTCCTAAAAATACAAACAAAATTTGACCTCCCACCAGGACAAATGAGGAATGCAGCTTTAAACCTATGTGTTGTTTTCTTGTATTGATTTGCCTTCTGTGAAGACTGTTTATTTAGATGAAATGATTGAAACAGGATGAGTGAGCGTGATGGCTGCTGGTTGCCAAGTGGTGTGAGCAGGGAGCCCCCCTCGGCACAGAGCTCATGCACCAAATGTATTTGATTCAAACTTAAAATGTGGGAAGAATTCCACAGAAAAAATAAATAAAATTTGTCTGCTTTGGTGGTGACACAGATTACATAATGTGATTTGAACAAGAAAAAAAAAAGCGCAAAATTGTCCCATGCAAAACCGTGAATAAAAAAACGCATATCCTCCTATAGTATATTGGCATCTCCTCCATGTTCAGTCCCAATGAGCCAGTGAGACAGACAGCTTGGAGAGTGAGGGCTGGTGAACGGCCCATTACACAGGTAATTACCAAAGTATTCTTTAAATCTTAATCACATCACGAGTCAACAGCGATGCCATCTTGCGATAAGAAAGACAGATGTTGAGCAAATCTTTCGGCAAATGTATATTGTCCTCTTTTTGTAACGTATACTGATATTAGATAAGCACTGTATGCAAATGACAATGTTGTTTTGATGGAGTCTAGGGAAATGCATCCATATGTTTTGAAATATTGTCCAACACTGGTCAGTTAAACATTAGTTTGATGGATATGTACACAGTTTATTGACATATTGTACATAAGTAAAAAGTCAAATACATCAAAAATTATGAATAGGCTGACAAGGTTACTATCTCAAAAAGGGCAACATAACAGTAAACCAGAATGCACTACTACTGCTACTGCTACTAATAACAATGCATTTGTTTCATACAGCACTTTTCAGGACACTCACAGACACTTCACATGTCATTATTCCTTCACTCTAGAAACTACTACTGTGGCCACAGTTGCCGTGGGGCACACTGACAGAAGCGAGGCAACCAGTCTGTGTCATTGGCCCAACTAGTCAGTCACACACACACACACACACACACATACACACACACACATACACACACACACACACACACACACACACACACCAAACTCATTCTAGGCAATGTGGGTGAAGTGTCTTGCCAAAGGACACTATGACAGTTTGGCACTTAACAGCTGTGGCACCTGATGTTCTCAGTGGTCTCCCATCACACTATAACCAGGCCCTGCCCTGCACAGCTTCAGAAATTCTGGCTTTTGCATGCAAGTTTACTACTACTGGTACTACTACTACTATTACTACTACTACTACGACTACTACAACTTATGTTACTGCTACAAATACTGCTACTTCAGCTGCTACTATTACTGCAACCACAACTGCCACTACGGCGACTACTACTACCACCACTACCACTGCTCCTACTACTTCTACTATACAACTACTACCGCTAATGGACAGGTTAAATAGTTACATAAAGTAACATATTTATTAGGGGAGTAAGCATACCATTATTGAGTTTTAACTTTTTACTGGAGCAATTATTCGAGGCCAAACAAGACTTTTTAGCGAGGCAATAGGTCTAATTAATTGAAACAATTCTGAATATGGCAACACTAATTATATTCAAGTTATGGCTTTTTCCGTGGTATAAGAGGCGACTGGGAGGTTGTTTTTTTTTCCCTTACTTGAGTTCCAACTTCAGTACATTCGAGCTAATTAAACTTATATTGGAGAATGTTCAGAATGTTAAATAACAAACAGTACAACAGTTGTATTTGGATTGAAACGATAATACTAGTGCATACAGTTTTACGGCCTTTGCTAAATAAACATTAAAAAGCTTAAGTTTAAATCTCTAAAGTGCACTTTTTGTTCCACTCTTAGTTTTTCCCTGAAATGAGAATTGAAACAGATTTTCTTGCCCATAATGACCGTCGAGTAACTCTCCCTTTGGACCTTTGGATTTACAGCAGAAGTAATTAAAATGTGAGCTGATGATACTCACAGATACAAGGTTATATTACTACAGACCCATTATTGTTTTTAAGGTTTCGACTTGAGACGTTTTCGCCGGAGGAAGCAAGAATGTTTCTTTTGGGTGAAGAGAAGGTGTAATGTGCCAGAGCCGCTCCTCGTTTTGACAGTTTCCCCTCCAGTGGTGATAACATTAAGGGATGTGAGTCAATCTAGCGTACATCTATTTCCTGGTTTCTCTAACAAACCGTGGCGCCCTGATTGGCCTCATGCTGCTGCAGAGACCAATTAAAGCTACAAGTAACGATGGTTAAAATCGATTGACCTGCTGCAAAAGTGAAAAAAAATACATTAAAACTAATAAAGTTAGGATAGGAAAAAAGAAAGTGTGTATGAGTACATTGTGAACTTCCAGAAGCGGCCGGGAGAACAGTTATTATCTATGACACCAACAAACAACACTTAAAGTTCTTTCTATGATATTGTTTGTATCTTTTTTTATTTTTTCAGTGGATTATACAGTGGGAATCAGCTGTTTACATGCACTGTAAAAAAAAAAAAAAACAGTGGGATGTGTTCTTACTATTTGTAATTCAAATATCAGTATCTCTCTCAATACTGTGGCAATTGGCCAGTATTTTTGGTAAAAATAACCGACCCATTGTTACATGATGTAAACTTTTGCTTTCCACCATAGAGCAAACTGCAGCCTATTATAACTATATTACTCGTGATGTCAGTGGGGTCAGAATTTTATTTTTATCCATGACGCTCCAAAACCCCTGAGGCCCCTGTTAGTGATGGCTAAAAATGCAGAGGACAAACTTGTGCAAATGTATTTTCGCTAGAGTTGGAGAAATCGGCTCCTCATACAGTCTGTATAAGGCAAAGCTACTGTGTCTTGTGTATCATGACTTAATGGTGTATTTTTTTAAGATTCAATAATATATTGTCAGTAAGAAATTACACTTTGAGCTTCATCGTAATAGAGCGTAGAAAGTGTAGAAGTTGGCAGGATGTACACAGGCACAGGGCTATATGAGGTAGATCAGTAAGACAGTAACAAAGTTAACAGGATGGAAGTGTGGATGTTAGCTGCAAAAATGCACGACCAGTTCACAGTTATGGCAAGAATTTAGAAGTGGAGGGTCCGGGGGTGTGAGGAGGGGTGTCATGTTCATTGAGCATGGGTCTGACAGCCTGGGGGTAGAGGCTGTAGGCCGTTCTACTGGTTCAGGCAGGGAGTGACCTGTACATCCGG